AGTTATGACTCGGTTGGAAACATTCACAACTTGATTATTTTGTTGCTTAAGAGTATTATTTATTTTGTTTACCTTTGATTAGTTCTAGTCTGCGAGGGTAGTTAAAAAGGCGATGACCTTGAAAATTGAAGTTTCGTTCAATTCCCACGCGGCTGTTCAAAGCACGTTCAAACCATAAGGATATTATTGAATAAATTCTGATCCGTCTTATCTGCAATCGCGTCCGCAGACTGAAGCCAGTCAAAAGTAAACAACAATTTCTAGTTTCCAGTGGATCAGACCAGCTGGCTATAAATTAGCAGAAATCAGATCTTATCTCGTTGTTCTATGGTTATTATGGTATGAAATAATTATTGCTACTGGACCATGCTAATCCGCTGTGCTTACACAGGTTTTCTAAGGGCTTTATCAGCTTATCTCTTGTTGGGAATGTTTTACCTCCATGGTGCTAGTTTTCCGACAAATTTACTGGTGCTGACGATCACTGGAAATCTTCATTTGCAATCATTTTTCAGTCGAACCACTCACCGAACCTGCCCAAGCCACCCAAATTTCCGAGGGCGCCTTCACACTAACAATTAATCAATCTAGTGGGAAGCCGTCTACAGCCGTTGGCTCCTCGTTGCAGTCCACGTTGTCGGAGGTATTGGCACCCTCACCTCGATCCAGTTCCGGCATAGCCATTATGGGTTCAACTCTGTTCCTCTACGGTGGCGTATTCGAAGCGGGTGATCGCGAGGTGACTCTGGATGACTTCTTCTGTCTTGATTTGAATCAACCGGTTTCTTGGAAATGTCTTTTTGCTGGCACACAAGATAATCAGGTAGGCTCACTCGTTACTGTGAGCTATTGGTAGGGCGTATTCTTGTTGTGAACCGAACTTGATAGACCTCTGCAAGTTGTTCGAAATGATTTAAAAAAAATCTTCTTTGTCTCAAATTGGCATTACGTCATCACTGTACTTCGCTATACGATGATGGTGATGATGATGATGGTATCTGCTTATAAACTGTGCTTGCAAAACCACTGCTTTTTCTGCATAATTGCGCAAAAACCGTTGGGTTGTTCGTCCTTTGATATGGACTTGTTTTGCCGGCGGTTAACACTCCCTGTTTCAGCAAATTTGCAAGATGGTGAGGCTGTCAATCACGCTTTCTTTCCCGGCGTCACAACTATGCACACATCTTGGCCATCATAATCAACGCACTTGGGAACTTGAACTGAACTAAAAAGAACGATTTTTGCTGCTGAACTGAATTTATAGCTACCAGACTGAATCAACGTCGTTTCCAACAGCGAGTGTTCGTGGTGTTGCACAGCTGAAATTATCTCATCGAGTTGACAGTGCCGGAGACGAATTATTTAGCGAGGTTTTCTTGGTTAAAAACTAACTAGAGGGAGTTTGTTGATCCCCTGTCTTGCGTCGGAAGTGAAATTAACATCACAATTTACACAATAACGAGGTTAGATTGATTGAAACAAGTTTAGGGGTAAATGTATCTTATGGCCACTTGCAAAAGTTTTTTGTAACTATGACATGTAGCATTGATCTGACTGGTCTTGTGGTGCTGATAACAAACGAATATTGCCGAGATTCAGATCTTCTTAGTTTTGCTTCTCACAGTAATAATCCCGTTGGTTCAGATTTTTTTCCCTCTTCATCGAACTCCCTATTCTTCATGCTTATTTATCCTTTCATTGAGAGAAAAATTAAACGATTTATACTTACTGCCATATTGCGCTGGTTATGAGTGGTTGCTCAGTTCTAAGTTCAATGCTCGTTCTGTTTCTGTGTATCCCTTAGGAGTGGTTTGGAAGTGATATAGAAGATGAAGATGACGATTATGTTGAGTCTGACAGTGAAGAAGAGAAAAAAGGCGCTTGCTCAACTCGGCAACAAGCGTCTGGCACTGCTACCGGTCAAACTTCAATGGAAATAGACGAGGGCGATAGTTCAGACAGTTCAGACGACGAAGACGAGGGTAAGTCGTCCGTAAACTGAGTTGCACAGTCACTTATATTACCGATCCCACTCTCACTTTGATTGAAGGTAAGTTATATTCTGATCGATGAGTAATCAATTCGTGGGTTGGATTGGTGAAATGATGCGCACAAAATCAGGCTATTAATTGGCGGAGTACGCACACTGTCTTATTTTTCCCCAGTCGATTCCTTTTATCGGCGTGTTTCTAAGTTTAACTTCTGATCAAATTCACTTATCTATGGATAATCCCACCATTCAATGCTCCGTTTTTTATCTCTGCTACTTGTCTCCGCGCTAAACTCTATGCAAACTGTAGTGCTCTCACAAACTTGCTCTTATGTCTATTTCTGATTAAAGATCTTATATGTGCTTTCATTTCAATACCTTCAATGCGCTCGCATACTCATCCAGCCCCGGTGAAATCAGATCCTTGTCAATCATGGCCGCAATGTGTTCTGATTAGCTGCGGTGACAAGACTGAATCAATGCTTGAGGTTATTGTTTCCGTATTCTTCGAAAGCTTTTCTGAGTCGATTCAATACGGTTCTTATTGTGATATTTTAAGAAAAGAGACCTACTAGGTGCAATTGGTAAGCTGGTCGAAAGGCATCTGCACGCGCTTTTGAGACGAATAGGTCTCGACTGAATAAACGTTCTGAGGTTGACAAAAACTAACTGCACTCCATTACCCTGCTCCTCATAGCCACAGGTCGAATTATGCCTGAAAGGTCAATGGATAGAGGCCCAACAAAGTTCACTCTCATAAGACCAGCTGTTTAGGCTCCTGACTTCCTTGAACCTTCCACTCTCCAGCAAAAAATCACATAGAGGAGCAGTAGTTTATCGGCAAATCCCGGCGCTGGTCGGACGTACGAATTGTGTGCCTGGGGATTCCTCGCGACTATGGGAGAACTCTTTGTACTTCGTTGGACAGGTGCCGCCTACCCGAGATAGGCAGCTCCCAGTCAACAAGTTGCTGTCCCGTCCGTATTTAGCTTGTCTCATTGGGTGCGTGAAGCTAAGGGCCGATCGCGAACAGCGGACCGACAATTAACACACCAATGAACAATACACTGAATCAAAACCCGAAAGCCCCGTGTGACAGGTTTCTAGAGGCTCACACTGGTGCTTCGATCACGCCCCCCGCATTGGGTCTACGCTCCATTTTCTAGTGGGTCTGACTCTTGAATCGAAAGCTCCCATCAGTATTCCCAAGGAAAGCTGCTTTCGTCACTGTAAGCTACGGCGAAGTATGTTGTATCCCAAAGTCTTGGGCATCCATTTGGATTAAACCCCTCCCTCTTCTGTCTGGTTCTTCCTCTCACTCCAAAATTTTATGGGCTTCAAGCATATAAACCTAAACAAATTATACAAATACAGAATACAAGTGACTCCTGCTTCTGGCGCCCACACGATATCACTCAGCATTTGACTACTGAGGTCAACGAACCAGAAGCTATTCTTTCCATTTAGCTGCCTTTGATGTCCACACTTTATCAGATCGACCAACATCTGCCTTAGCCAAGACCCTTGAAAACTTTACCTTCGACGTATGTTGTCTCCGAAAGCCCGTCCTTCTGACTCAACTCAGTTCTCACTCTTCATTGTGCGATTTGGCGTCCGACCCTCGCGCCGTTGCCGGTGTCGGGATTAGGCTAAGTGCCAAGGCTGAGCGCTCGATTTTTCACTGAACGCTTATCAGTATCCGAATTTTCGCTGTACGTTTCGACGGTTTACCACGGGTCAACAGCTACAGAACAAAGTGTCGGTGGTTATTCATCCTGTCGGTGTATGCACCGACTGATTGCAGTTCACCCGAAATGACGGACGAATTCTACATGAACCTTTCTCAGCAACTCCAAAATGTCCAAATGTCGATCAAAATGACAGTGGATTTTGGCGCACGATCAAAACATAATCGATGGGTCTCATCAGTCTTGGTTACTTTGCTGGACACCCGCAGAACTATTCCATTTGATGCGAAATATGACAGTGCGAATCTATTAAAAGCCAGCTCATCAAGAGTCCGAGGAATGACCGCGGGAGGTGGTGGATAGCAAAATGCAGAGAAATGGACGAGGCTGTCGCTGTTGGTAACAGTCGTAATCTCTCCGTCTAATTAGGCTTACGGGCCCAAGAAAAGTAGGTGTAAGTGAGATGATCAGAGATTCCGATTTGTGGTTTCAACAGGATAAACAGCTAGGCCCGGTGGTTTTTTGATTCCACTCTTTCCATTGTTCCTTCTGTCAAATTGCATAGTAAATGCGGCTGCTTACTGACATTCATCTATCTCGAATATAAAGAGTCTTCAGTCATACATGAATGTGTTACCTTCTCCGTAACTACAAATAGTTTAGCTTTTTACGTCAAATTTTTTTAACTTTGGTATACAAACAAGGTGGTTTACAAGATTTAGTGTTTCATTTTTTTCTACCATTGGTATAATTCGGTGCTAAGCGGTTATCTCATCTTTCGACCGCTCGGTGCCAGAAGCTTTTATGGTTTCGCTCTCTTTATCTTATCTTTATCCGTGTCTCAAAATAAAACAGATTATTTTTCAATGAATAGCGCCTCCGTTTTCCTTATGAGCATTTCTTTCTGACTGCATTCTACAATAAAAAATGTCTCATTCCCCCGTTCTGATACTTTCATTTTGTCCGGCAGAATTGACCGAAAACGCACCATTACCCGAGGCTGGTGAAACCTACACGCGCTACTGGAGCCGAACTTCTCAATTTTGGTGTGAACTTGTCCAGCGCGGCTTAGGTGATCATGAGGACAGCGATAGCACGAAATTGGACGGTCCATCCACTAGCATAGATCCGGCAGTTCTCCGCTTAGCCGAAAGGTTATCGAAAGATTTTCACTCCAGTCGGACACATTGATTTTTTTCGGATTATTCACCAAATCGGATCTTGTGCACGCAGCATCGCATCTTCATGCTGACGTTTGTTCATCCTGAAATTTTTTTGCGCGCGTGCGCATACCAGTGAGGATTATTTTCAGATATTTTGAAAAAGACCGACCATATTTCCTGCACTGGATAAATTCTTTCTGTTTCCTTCGGCGAGTGTGTCGCAGTGAGCTACGCTCATTTACTTCGTGGTCTTATCAGATTCGAGCGAAAAAGGGGGAGATTGGCTGTTGTGAATCAGCTGTAAGCTGTGCAGAATGGAGTCAGTTTCAACAAAGCGCACATTTATTTTGCTCGACTGAAAATGGTTTTCTAACTGGAATTGCATGCTTTATCGAAACATACACACAACTGTAGATGGTTAACCTGTTTCACAAACATATGTACATCGTCGTATCTTTGATCAGTTTCATGGTTCTCTCAGATGAGGTCGCCCGCAGCTGGGGAGGCTTTTGGAGTTAGGCAATCTTCAATAAGCCTACAATGAATAAAAAGCGTAATAATGATTCCTGTTAGATTAGGAAAGAGATACAACCATTGTGTTCTAAAAGCTAGCTAAAACTCCTAACAAATGTGACACATGAGTTTGCATAGATTTGATCTTCAAAATGCTTTTTTTTGTCCAACCGTCAGTTGTACATGCGTGTCCTTACTCCAGCGCTGGCTTCAAACTACCCAACGACATGGTTGTCCTAAATTTTCAAATAACGGTAATCTATTCCTAGTTGGAAGAAAATTTCGATGAAGGCCTTTCAGAATATTATGTTGGCGTCCCGGAAATCTTGATTGCTCTCGGAAGGAGCAATCGCTAATCGAAGTGGGAATATTTTACAGTGTTGGGATTCAAATACACAGCCTGTGGGTTAGTGTATTTGTGATTTATGCTTTTTTCCATATTTTGATGATCGAAAGTGATATGCGGATTTGCTGTAATAAACATAATCGCTTATTCTAAGTGCCGAGTCTGTTGGTATCCGCGCAATATACGGTCACCCAAAGGTTAAAGTAGGATTTAGACTATGCTAGGCTTAATTGGTCTTTGGTCACACCACAGCGTTTCAGACACGAGTGGACAAATTCATGGTCCTTTTTAAGAAATAGACTCATTGTTTTGTGTGCTGGTAAAGTGAGTTCACTTACCGTAGTTCCTAGGAATTTCCGGTTCCACACAAAGTAATAAACAATGGCGTACACTCTCTGTGTGGTGGAATAAACGTACTCTAGAGGATCCTTTTCTAGCTGATCTTCTGTGGCCAATTCCTGCGATTCTTCCGCACTCTCTTCGAGATCGAGTCGACTGAGCACATCCTGTAGGGCACTGAAGCTGAAAAATGGTGGAAGTAGAATTGCTTTTCTATTCTTATACAGTTGAGATAAAACGGTTGGATTTAATTTTCTGATGGACCAACTAGGAACGAGTTTGCAATACAAGTCAACTCAGTTACTCTGCGATCAGAAGTGCTATGTGAGTAAACATGCCAGCTCTGATTAGACAATGCGATGATGACCAAGGATCTTTCGTCATTCGTTTTCTCCCATAACTGATTGCCGCTTTCGTGTCTTTTTTCATTGGTCTTGGCCTTTAATTGTTTGCCATTCCGATGCGCAGGGCTTCCTCTGTTTTACCCTGAGCGTTTGCCGTATAACGGACTCCGGCTGCCAGAGGTTTGGTTAGTTTTCACATTGATGAATCCCACAGTGTGAATTGTTGCAACAAATTCCGAATTGTTTCCTTGAGATCTATTTCAGTGCATGGTGAGCAATTTTCAAGCCTCAGGAGTGAACGGAGAATGAAACAGTTCAGTTCAGTTTGTACAACCATTAACCGCGCATATTCGTGCGCTGGTTTTGGTTGCTGTCTTTTGGCTGCCCATTTGGATGAAGAATAGTAGAAGAAAGGAAAGTTGTAAGTGGAGTCGAAAAAAAACTGGAGAAGTTCAGTGGTCTAAGATTGCAAATAAATTGAGAAAGTGCACGAACGCCACTGGTTGCGACACCCAGCCATATCACTCAGTGTCTCTAACCATCGGGTACGATCCTCCCGAGGTCCCCAGCCAGGGAGTCTAACGGGGCCTATGTGCATTAGTCTCCTGGTTGGGGTTTTCATACCCTCACGCCAGGTCATAGCTTGACCACTCTTGGCTTTTTTCCACTCGGTATCTGCTTCGGCGAACATCGCTCGCCGTGGTAACCTACCTGGTAGCATGCGTAACACATGTCCCAACCAACGTAATCTATGGAGGTTGACCACTTGCTCCAGTTGGCGACCGTATTTACCCAAAACTCTGCCCCTAACCTCAGCATTGCTCATGTGGCTACCCCACCAGATTCGTGCAATGCTGCGTAGAAAGCGGTGTTCAAACACCGACAGTCTATCTTTATCTTGTTTTCCTAATGGCCAAGTTTCTGCACCGTATAGCAGGACTGGCCGAACTGTCGCAGCATACACTCAGCCCTTCACAGACAGCCGGATGTCGCGACAGCGCCACAGATGTCTCAAGTTGGCAAATGACAACCGAGCCTTCTTTATGGAGCCGACACTTCATCTGTGATACGTCCACCGGGCGAGATGTAGCTGCCCAAATAACAAAACGTATTCACCCGGTCTATTACTTCTCCAGTTAGAGTGAGGCTGGGTGCTGGACCAACCCAGTCTTGTAACATTTTACACTTTGAAGGTGCAAAACGCATACCGAATATGGCTACACTGGCATTCAGTTATTCAGAAGTGCTTGCAACTTACCTGGATCTTGACTCAGCAGCACAATGTCGTCTGCGTACTCTAGATCAGACAGCCTGCCACCTGGAAGTAAATCGATGGCACTATCCTCGAACGAGGATAAGGCTGTTTCCATAATCAGATATAACAAAATTAAATAGAAAAGGAGAAAGAGGGCAACCCTGACGAACACNTGGGTGCTGGACCAACCCAGTCTTGTAACATTTTACACTTTGAAGGTGCAAAACGCATACCGAATATGGCTACACTGGCATTCAAGTTATTCAGAAGTGCTTGCAACTTACCTGGATCTTGACTCAGCAGCACAATGTCGTCTGCGTACTCTAGATCAGACAGCCTGCCTCCTGAGAGTAAGTCGACACCGCTATCCTCGCACGAGGATAACGGAGAATGAATACATCGACATCTATGGTGTTGTCACAACTTGTCTGATACTCATTAATGAGGCCTAACGCTTGCAACATACTACGAGGACGAGAGAATATGTTGTCCTCATTCCCCCTCGGATGGGAACTTGCAGCTAAGATCCTCAGCTCAAGGAACTGTGGCAAGAAGTGAGTGAAATATTTCTGCTAAATCATTCAATCTGAGGAATTTCACACATCTGCTAACATATCCTTGATTACAGTTGCTTTTTATATGATATATAAGAAGCATAAGATCGATTTTTCGGATCACGGTAACTGATCGAATTTTAAGAGCACTCACTTAGTTGGTTGTTACTTTTTACAAGGCTATTCCTTGATTGGCTTGCTGAACCCTAGAGATTTCTGGAAATAGGATTACTGGCGGCTTTTTTGATGTTGTAATTCTTGTCTTAGCACAACCCAACGCAACCTTTAAGGTATCAGAAGTATTTCAAGCCAGTCGGTAACCAGTCGTTTGGTTCATTTACCTCCGGAAAGCCTTCTCGAGAAAAGTAAATCACACAAGGAGCGAATCACATTCGCCAGGTTACAGCAAATAGTCGGAGGAGGATTCTAGTCAAGTGAAAACGCACCGCGTCCTCGGGCGCGGTCTGTGCTATTTCGCGGCGGCTTGTGTAGGAAGCCTGAATCCAGTGGTGATGGTTCCCCTACCAGCGAAATGGAGACGTACCATATACCACGCGACTTTGTCCCCTGGACTTGAAAATTTTACGATTGAAAGTTCTTCGTGGTGATCTTCCCCATCAATCGGTGTTGTAAAGTTATTTTCCATGATTTTAGCTGCGACAGACGGGGTTCATTATTGAAGACCGTCCAGTTCGTCAGTGAGAGTTCGGTAAAATTCGAATGCCACTAACTTGAGTGCATTTTGTGCTGTTCCTCAGTGGCTCTAATTTTTAAACGGTGTCAAATTGATTTTCAGCCTTACCTTCTATGCAGTGACTCTTCCAGCGGTGCTGTCAGTGTAGTAAGATGAGTTAGTTGGTCCTCGATCAGTTTGTAAATTTCACCTTTGAGAAAACGAAGAGAAAAATGAAAATATCCGACATGCTGTTATACAACCTCACTGGAACTTCTGAATGTACTTCTTTTACTGCTTGACTCTGAATGCACTGAAAAGCCCATTCAAAGATTGCAATCATTAAACCGTATGAGCGTAATTGGCATTTTCTGGTTACTCAGTAACTGTCATTATGAAGATACATTACTAATCATAAGATGGAACACACTACAAGTAAAAGGTAAGCTGAACAGGGAACGGGGTGAAATTCGAAAGGCACCACGTACTATGTTTGTTAAGTCAGGTGGTCTCTGTCACTGCAGTCTTACCCTATGCATACAAATAAGGTTAGTGATTTGAATTTGTACGGTCTTTTTTCTCTTTTATTCGTGTATGCTGACTTTCAAATCCGGTGTAGCAGCGAGCACAAAGGAAACCAGTGGTTTAGCCACTGTCACCGGTGTGCTTTAGACCCTATGGCCCCAGGTTCAAACCCCACCACCCAACTTTGGTGGTAGGCAGCTTTGCTGTCGTCCGGTTCAGTACCACACCTAACCTTATGTGGTTCGTCACTCCAAGTTCCGGGGCTTAGGTTACCATTTCCCATGACTGAACAACAGGTCCTCTTGATTATGGGGTTTATCCTCTCTACTGTTCATCACACTAAGGTGTACAATAAAAGAAGTGTTTAGCATGCAGTGTTCAATGCACACTTAGCCTGTCTTATACTTTGTACCCGCTATCAGCTTTGGAGATTCCTGTACGCAAAACATGACACGGTGATATAAATCTATTAATGTCAAAGAGCCGATAGAATTTCCGCATTTTTTCAGCTACTATACACAAATAAATGATCGATTCTCGGTGCGATTTCCGAATATTTCTAGTCGGTCTGTATGATGTTGCCTGATCCGGCTACAAAACATCTGCGAACAATACTTCCTACTCGGAGAACAGACCAACACTGAAGCGGTCTGGATGTTTCAAATTAGTGTCGAACTTTCAGCTGTACTTATGTTCCATTCAGAAAAAACAATGTGCAATCGCTGTGCTCGCTTCTCGTCTCAGCCAGAGTGGATGATGTTGTGTGAAGCGTTTACGTAGCTATCCTATCGACGACTTACGTGATTGGCACTGTTGGTTCTCTTCAATCGGTAGACAAACACTACCGGGGTCCAAATAGCCAAGTTATCTTTATTCTGATAGTGGATGGATGATTGGTGATATCGAGAATATTGTCCTTACTGTGGCACCTAAAACCGCTGCCCATTCTTTCACATCCTGGGACTTAAATGTTTTTTTTCCACTTCAGCCTCAGATATGGTTTCTTTCTGTCTTACAAGCTTTGGTTAATAGTACAATTGATGATCTGTTTGCAAGATATATTCTGCGCAGTTATGCTTTGTCCTGAATACAAGACGGTGTATCAAGTTACCCTGTTAGGTAACCGGCCCGTAAATGCTGTAATTTTGTGTACTGCTTCTTTTTCAAGCGTTCATACTTCACCACTCAGTGTCCCACATCACGCCTGAGTGAATCCATAACGAAAACTCCTGGCCATTATTTGCATTCGAACAGAAGAACCAGGTCAAGTCCGGGATGCACTCTATCCCTTCCTTGTGAACAAACTCTTCAGTGAAAAATGTAATCAATTTAACTTTGGCTTAGATGCGCTGAAAATGAATTTCAAGATATGACATTCGGTAAATAGACCATAATGATGAGAAGCGAGAACGCTTAGCAAAGGTGGAAAATTGCAGCATAAATTACTTGAGATTGTATTTCAGTTCGTAGAGTAGCTTGATGCGTTCCCGCACTTCCGTTTTCATTCGATGACTTCTACTGTTTGAACCCACCCAATGCTTTCTTACCTATGTAGACGATTAACGGCTTGACACTAACATATTAGACAATCTGTTTTCCCGTACGACAATCGGTTCATTTCGTGATTTGAAATCAACACTGTATGAAAGTAGAAGTGCATCACTCAGATTCCATCCGGTTTTCTGGTTAGTGGCACCAGATAACACACTGGAGATGGATCTCAGTGAACTGATTCATCCATTCCATCCTTCATGAGGTTGTCTCATTTCGACCACTAAGGGGCGCTTGGTTCGTCAAACCAAATTTTACTGGGTTTTATCTTGGCAGTAGTTGGTTCTGGTTAATTCTGCTGTTGTTCACAGCGATACCACATTTATTTCTCAGTCTAAGGTTGGCGTTCATCCTTTTATCAAGGACTATCAGCTCTACTTGTTTCAAGACGTGCTGAGTTTTATTGTTGTAATAGGCGGCTGCGACAAATTACAACAACACTGGTCGAATGAAGACAAGTGGTGTTCAACAGCAGCGTGCAGCAAGCATGTTTGAATGAATGCTCCATAAGCAATGGCATGAATGGTTTGAAAATTTCGTTTAGGTCTCCGTCGGCAATGAACGAAAAAGAAGAGCTAAACAACTTACGTTGATGGGTGATACCGTTTTGTGTTTTCGAAATCCTGTCCGAGTTCAGTAGAGTATCGATGAAAGTCTGCAATCATAATCAGTAGGGGGTTCTATTGTTGAAGCAATTACGTATAATATGCAACGCACTCACTGTTGAGGAAACAGCTAATGCTGTTTCCATATCCACATACAAGAAGACAGACGTACGTCCCGACGTTTGTGCTTTACTTTAGTTGTTTATAGCTTCAGATAAAGTATCTAGTGTTTGGCCATGTCTTGATCCGTTTTAACCAATTTACCCCCATAGTAATGAACTAACCACTGTCTTTAAGAGGTATTGGAATTTCAGGTTCTCATTTAAAAGGACGTACACGACAAAATTCCTCAAAACACTTAAAATTGACGCTCTCAATTAATCGTCATAAACTGTCGCCAGTTTGAAAGCGTCACCGTCATACTGTGTCACGAAAATGTTTACACTGTGCAAGTTGCTTATATCTATACGAGGAGGATGGAGTACTTCCACTCTGCCATCGCCACGTGAGGATGTATCGTAACAAAACTCTTGGTAACCAGTGGATAGAAGGAAGGTCTAACACCGATTAAGAACTCCAGTGAATGGTTTTGTCGGAGCATTTCAAATCTGGTGCTTATAACACAAGGCCGTTGAAATCATTTGTTTCAAGACAACTCTCCAAAGTGCGTGATAACAGCCAATAGTTTAAATCCTATGGAACGATTAGTGGTTTCCGCTTTATGTAAATCGTAACCGCCAATAACTGCGATAGGTTACTGATTTCGACAGTACTCAGTACCAGATCCAAGATTCCAACGGATGTCATTGAAGAGATTGTGTCGAGCCCATAGTATTAGCTCCGTATCGTAATTTTTGGATTAGCCACGACGATAGAAAGTCTAAAACAACAAAATTTGGTGACGGCCCTCTTGGATGACCTGTGTTCACATCAGTTAACATACAAAGAATAAATAAACCGCGCGTTTGGATTGGTACAGGGAAAGTTGTGTTTGTGGTAGTAAATGGGATCCAGGGAATTTCTAAATAAACAAGAGGTCAAAGCGCTACGAGTGAAATCATAAGTGGTGGAAGGAAGTGTGAAAGGAATTTTTATGGTGTGCCGATATGTAGTATTTGTTGCACATGAACATACGTGTGAGCGTATATGTGAACTGATCAACGATCTTTCTTCACTCGACTGAAGCATTCTGGATCACTGCCACCGATTGCTCGTTCCCTATATGACCCGAAACCTTGTTTTTGAATAATCACAATGACTTCAACATTTTGGACTAAAGAAATTTTTCGCCGCTGTTTTGAATCCTAACACTTTTTGATATTATAATAATAATTGACGTGATACCCATTTGGAGTGTTTATTGATCTTCGCGACACAGTATGTATTTTAAGTGTCAAACTAAACCTTATCACCACATTCTGCAAAATTACCTTGCTATTTTATTAGACTTCTGAGTAGATCATGAGCAAGATTTGTTGCTTTTTACCCGCTTCGCACTATTTTGCGTTTTTTCTACTTCCAGCGACTTGAAGCTGGAATCTATGAGGTAGACGCCACAGGGAAGTAGGATTTATGTGCATTCTTCACTGGAGTTGATTATGGAATTTCGTGACTAGTCGCACTGCATCGTGCGTAATGGCACGAGCACTCCAGTCGCATAATCACCTCCCCCGTGGTTGTCTGTAGTTGTTCATATATATCTTGGACATCGTCTGTCTCTCCCGCATGCTATGGTACATTTCATTGAAATGTTCACTTGCCACTTTCTTTTTTCATTGTTTATTTACTATGGTTCATGTACACCTTGCATCCGACTGACAATAGCTTCGATAGCTGACTTCGTTTTCCTGTTGAAATGCTTTTTTTCTGACGACGATAAAGCATTTTGTTTCTTGTTTCTCGAATTTTATTCCGAGCGCGGTTCTATGAAATCAGTTTCCAGGTTCCGTAGATAACGTTTATGTACCCTGCGCTCAAGTGTCCTTCTGGAGTGCATTTGCCTGCGTTAAGCGAATATGTTTTTTTGGTTCAGAGTGGAAGGTCAGCAACAGAAGAGTGTTGTTTCCTTTCAAGTCCGTCTGTATAACGTCATTACAGGGAAGGCACGGATTTGGATGTTGTTTCTAGGGCAGTTATTTTATCCATACCATTCCTAATTTTATTATTCATTTGTAATTTCCCGGATGCCGGAATCTGCCATTTTTTTCTCGGACCTCACTCCCTGATGTTCATTTATTTCCAACCACGATAATCAACTTGTGCATTGTGGTAATGGAGATTCAGGTTTGTGATCGTGTTGATTGTAGACACCCTCTATGTCCAACCTAGACCAGTATCTTTCGAATCTGAAAACTTCTAGTTCAACAATCGGAAGGTGCTGAGTACTGACTCTAGAAAAAATGAGGATGAAAATAGCCAACGCTTACCGAGTTCAGACAGACGATTTTGGGGATTTTTTCCTTCACCTTTTTGGCTAAAGTGGATAGACTCTCTTCTTCTTGGCAGAATACGTTGTCTCGCACCGATAGCTCGCGCAAGTTATCACAGTCACTGATACTTTCCTACGGGCGAATCAAATGATATGAAAGAAGATTTTAAAGAAGTAACGAGGGAAATTCGTGTGGAATAAGAATACTAGATCGGTGCTGGTGCGTGTATTTGTATTTAAGCTGTAGCAAGATTGCAGCCAAAAGGAAATCACAGTTGCAGTGCNCGTTGAATTCTCATCGTACGATCGCTGATATATGTGCATTAGTAAAACACATCCATGGATGTCTGCTCATAGATACAAGCATACCAAGGTATTTATTCATTCAACAAACGCTTGCCAGTTACATGGTTCGAATTAAAAAAACTAACTCATGTTTTGGGTGTTTTTCTTGATCGAGGATGGAAGAGTTGAGTATGCACTCAAATAATATATCTTAAGTTGCTGGTCTGATTAGGCATACTTATGGCACGTCGATTAGAGGTGCGCTTAATAGAAAAGAGCCCATCTATTATTGCATGAAGGGGCTTTATAAAATATGAAACCACTATCAATATGGTCTGTGGAATAAACTTTCTCTACACTATCGTAGAAAAATACAATAATACGAATTGTACTGATTTCGACCGAGG